GTTTTTACTGCGCGTGTGCGTTCAACTAGGAATGAATACTAAAGACTACAAATACAAGTGGGGCGGAGAAGACTGGGATCTACTCGACCGCGTATTGATGGCCTCCCTCGAAGTAGAGCGAAACAAGTACCCAGGCCTCTATCATCACTACCACTTCAAACAAAAACAGTGGAATTAGACAGGATTACGAACCAGGATGCACAGACAGTCATTATTAATGCGTGTTTAAGTTAGCAAGCCTGAAAACCCAGGGGCAGGTCTCGAGTACGGTTTCTGCCGCACACTAGACTCCAAATTTTGACTAAACCCTGTTCTTGAACTCTCTTATTCAGAAGCTTTCGAACGTTCGAAATGTGCACATGTTACCCCGCTCTGAGAAACGTGTCGAATACAGATACCCCTATACTCTGTTGAGTTTGTACGCTCTTTATAAAGTGCTCTGTTACGCATGCCATGCATGCTATTTGTAAGGTTTCCTTGTGCTCTGTTAAGTTTTCATGCTCTCTATTTAGTTTACACGCGTACTATATTAAGTATGCATGCTCTTTATAAAGTTTGCATGTGCTCTGTTAAGTATGCATGCTATTGATAAAGTTTGCATATGTTTTGTTAAGTTAACACGCTCTTTATAAGGTTTGCACGTGCTCTGTTAAGTATGCATGCTACTTATAAAGTTTGCGCTCTATTAACCCATTCGCTCCTGGAGATTTTGCCGAAAAACGCGTTTTGAAGCTAGTCGAGTGGTTTTCTGGTCACTGTCGTGCTATAAAGAGAGAAGTTTGCATGTTCTTTATAAGTTTGCACGCGTAGTATTATGTTTGCATGCTCTTTCTAAGGTTTGCATGTGTTCTGTTAAGTTTGCATGTTCTTTATAGGTTTGCACGCGTAGTATTATGTTTGCATGCTCTTTATAAGGTTTGCATGTGTTCTATTAAATTTGCATGTTCTTTATAAGTTTGCACGCGTAGTATTATGTTTGCATGCTCTTTATAAGGTTGGCATGTGTTCTGTTAAGTTTGCATGTTCTTTATAGGTTTGCACGCGTAGTATTACGTTTGCATGCTCTTTATAAGGTTGGCATGTGTTCTGTTAAGTTTGCATGTTCTTTATAAGTTTGCACGCGTAGTATTATGTTTGCATACTCTTTATAAGGTTGGCATGTGTTCTGTTAAGTTTGCATATTTTTTATAAGTTTGTACGCGTAGTATTATGTTTGCATGCTCTTTATAAGGTTGGCATGTGTTCTGTTAAGATTGCATGTTCTTTATAAGTTGGCACGCGTAGTATTATGTTTGCATGCTCTTTATAAGGTTGGCATGTGTTCTGTTAAGATTGCATGTTCTTTATAAGCTTGCACGCGTAGTATTATGTTTGCATGCTCTTTATAAGGTTGGCATGTGTTCTGTTAAGATTGCATGTTCTTTATAAGCTTGCACGCGTAGGATTATGTTTGCATGCTCTTTATAAAGTTTGCATGTGTTCTGTTAAGTTTGCATGTTCTTTATAAGTTTGCACGCGTAGGATTATGTTTGCATGCTCTCTATAAAGTCGTGCCTGTATTCTGAATACTGTTGCAATTGTGTGTTCGCCACGAGTTAAAGAATGGAATACTGGTGCTTATGTGTGAGGTCCGAGTTAACTAAAAAAATACTCGAAAGGAACAGAGTATTTAGATACTAAATTAAAAAAAACAACAACAAGTCGATTTTTTTCAAAAGCTTGCACAGTGTAGGAATTCCCATATTAAAAAAACAGCTGAGAAACTTCGCTATATCCGGATGGGAAACAATTCTTCCAAGTTTTCGTGGGATTTCCAAGATATTATCGTAACTTATTAACTCACGTTGGTATTGCATATGATTTACATTGCTAAAAAATCCACAGAGGTTTATTGCGGAGGAAAATCTCGACTACTCGTAATCCATTGATTCACAAGTCGGGTACCTTTAATTTTTAATTCCCTTGTACGTTCATATAACTTGTGCCTTCTGTATCATGATCCTTACATCCTCAGCTTCACCAATATCGGTCAATATCTCTGGTTTTTCTTTTCGGTTTCATTATTTGATTCAGGAATCAGGATTTGATTTAACGAAATTTAGTTTTAGTTTCAGAGAAAAGTTCTTACCTCTACAGACTATCCTTTCACTGTTTCTTTATCAGACTTTCCCGGGCCCTGATCGTCCGATGTCAGTGATCTCAACATGCAATTGATAAAAAGAAAAGAACACAGCTTGTGTTAAAATACGATTGAGTTAAATTTCCAGTTTTTTCACGACAGGATAACTAAACGACAAAAGTAGTATATAAATAATAATTTCTCACATTTTCTTACTCTCATGTTTCAACGTTGGCTCTTTTCCTATTTGGGAGAGCGGCCACGGCCAGGCGGTTCAACTGCACTTTATGATCAAAGTAAACCCTATATAGAGAAAAACAAGAAGATAATCAACGAAAGCATGAAAATAAACCAAACAAAAATTAAAGGGTATTTTTGTTCTCGGGCTGTTGGTCTACGGTTTTCTAGCAGCTCATCGAAAATCAGTCTTTAAAGGCTCGTCAGCTATGACAACTATGTTCAATTCCTGCTCGAATCA